TAACACTGCATGGTTCAAAATTGGGAAGGACGTAAGTGAGGGATGTGTCCTATCTCCATACCTTCTCAACCTGTATGCAGAACAGATTATCCAAGAAGTTGGGCTCTATGAGGAGAAGAGTGGCATCAGGATTGGTGAAAGATATATCAACAATCTGCGTTATGCGGATGACACAACCCTGCTTGCTGAAACTGAGGGGGACCTGAAGTGCTTGTTGCAGAGGTTCAAGGACTGCAGCCTGCCGTATGGATTGAGGCTCAATATCAAGAAGACAAAAATTCTCACCACTGGGCCAATTGGCAGCATCAGGATGGATGGTGAAGAGATTGAGATTGTACACAACTTTAGTCTGCTTGGCTCCACAGTCAACACTCTTGGCACCAGTAGCCAGGAAATTAAAAGATGTATTGCGATGAGAAAGTCTGCTGTTAGGGACCTCTCCAAAGTACTAAAGAACAATGGTGTCACTCTGGAGACTAAGGTGCACCTGATACAGGCCATAGTCCTTGTAATCACTCGTTATGCATCAGAGAGTTGGACAATGACTAGGGAGGATAGAAGGAGAATTTATGCCTTTGAGCTGTAGTGCTGGGGGAAAGCATTGAATGTACGAAAGCATATTCAAAAATCAGGAAACAGATTTATCTCGGAGAGGGTTAAACCGGGCTGTTCTTTGGAGGCAAGGATTCTGGGGTTTTGTGACATTCTTTGGACATATTATAAGGAGGTACCAGTCCTTGCAGAGGGACATCATGCTTGGGAGGGTGGAGGGACAGCGCAGGAGGGGAAGACGCTCCATGAGGTGAATTGATTCAGTAACTGGGGTAATCAAGATGGGTGTGCCAGAGGCAGTGCGATTGGTACAGGATAGAACAGGGTTTATGGCTGTTTTATAGAGGGTCACTGTGAGTCGCAATTGACTCAAAGGCTCATAACAACAACAACAACTAACAACAACAATAAACATGAGTCTGTGTTTGTCAGTTTGTCTCACAGCTCTCATATAATCCTCATTATTTCTGCTGCCCTTTAACTCCAGTGTTGAAATTACTGTGTCAATCCATCATCTCCTTAACTGACATGTGAGTACTCAACTGTAGCCAATTGTCTTTCAGCTTGTGGAAAAATACGGAAACATGGTTAGCCTGGACCTTGGGCCCATTCATAGTGTTTTGGTAACTGGATTGCCCTTGATCAAAGAAGTCCTCTCAAACCCAGATCATGGTGTTGTGAATCGTCCTGTTGTTCCTCTTCGCAAACTTATCTTTAAGAGAAGTGGTAAGTTCTTGACTGATGTAAGATGTGAGTGTATGATTTTGTTTTAGTCTGTAAAAACTGTCCTGTGACTGTAATTCTTCCTTCCTAGAAACCAAATTTATCATAAAGTTTGTGCCACTGAAGGGAACTTGATGTCCACATTTCTCAATTTAAGGTACCTACTGTAAGGATTGGGCCCTGCTAGTTCTTATGTCATAGTTTAGGGAGAAGCTGCACTCCTGCAGAACCATTCTGGATGTTTGGAAATCAGTTAATCTCATCTCTCCATGAGAACACAAGGAGAAGCAACACATTCTCTCGCTCTGCTCCCCTATTCCAAATTTCTCCCGAACAGTAAATGGATGTGAATCTCTATACTTCTTTCTTTCTGCCTCCAGCTCCTCTTAAGCTTTATCATTAAAGTCTTAATGTTGTGGCAGAAATGTGAGATTCTAAACACCCAGCCAAAATTGGAGAACAGCAAAGTTCTTTATTTCATGTGGTCAAGAGCGTCAAACCATTCTAACTCTCAGGGAAAGCATAGATGGCGTTTATATGGATAAGTTGGGCAGAGGACGTTACACAAAGTTCATTGGGGTTGACAGTTGAGATTTCTTCACTTTGGAAGTCATTATTGTTTCTGAATTCTCATGGGTGTCCAGGCCCTAGGCCAGGTGCAGAGGGAGTGGTAACCATGCTGCATCAGCCTGTACTAGAACATAAAGCCTAGTAATGTTATTGCCAAAATTATTGAACATATTATTAAAATGGAATGAAATGATTTCTTTAAAGCAAACATAAGAAAATGGCTTCTCTAATACTTAACATAACCAGCTGCTTCTACATTAACAGTCAGGGAATCTCAAGTCTTCCTGTCTATGATAACTCAAGAAGCATCAAAATAA